CATTCTTTTTCCTGACTAAATGCAAATATATTTTCAGTTTAAAAACTGGTGTATATAAAGTCATAGGACACAGGAGCAAAAATAACTACACTCTTCTTTTCGCAGTTCCTAAATTTTCAAGTAAACATTAGCCCAACAAGGTGACTAAAGTGAGATGATATTGCAGAGAAAAGTGTACGTGTATATTCCTTATAATAATTATATACTCCCCAAGGCCAGAAAAAATCCATCTGTGATTGCAAGGCAGTAATAAAAATGACCACAGGTTTAGGCAAGGAAATGGTGACTTCAGACTTTGTTATTCAGAAGCTACTATGGGAAGCCCCACAACATTTGGCCAGATGTTTTGCATTAACTTAAAAAGATTAGAGATATATAATGAAAGAAATCATCTGCCTGGATGGGAGTTTCATGCACTGTTAACTCCTCATTGCTAAAGGAATTACCTCCAAAAAGGTCTGCCTTTGCTACAGGTCTCTAAAAAGCCTCTTTATTTGAGCAAAACAAATTAGCCCCAACAAAGAGTACCCATGTTTTGGTTTTTTTTACTTATCAAAACAACTTAGCAAGCTCATTCTGCCAAGTGTGTCTGTGTGTGTTTTCTATGTTTTCACCTATATTATTCTGTAGGTAATTTTGGGTTTCATAGATTTGGTGAGGCTTCATTAGGTTTGATTTAGTATGGCCTTTAGGTGACTGGCTAAATCACTGTCAATTTACTCTGAATATTGAGCATTCTGGATCTGAAATTAGGGGGATGTTAATTAGCTGTAATTGGTCCCAGAGATGGCAGGGAATTTTGAATGCTCTATTAGCCCATTAACAAATATAGATTCCTGGGCAATCAGTCTTATGGACTAAAATAATCTTAAATTATTGAGTTGCATTTATCAATTAAAATGTATAATCCAGTTATGTGTACAAGAAATGCATGAAATACATTCATGAATTATGAAGCCTGTTAAAAAGGTGTGTTTTCTAACACAACGCATGGAAGTAATGAACTGTTGCAAAGCACACATAAAGCCAAAATTAACTTTTTTCTTCATTTCTGAAAATATTGAAAATATATGAGATTCTTCAATGTGGTATTCTACTTATTCTATATTTGTACACACTGCGTACTGCATGAGATTTGTAGTTTCTTCTCTCAAGCTTTTGTAATGCATGTCACCTTCATAGCACCTTAGAAATATTTCAGTCATGTTCACAGTTGTACAATACAGCATGATAGGAATGCAAGCTTTCATTTGATTCCTCAAAGGAATGAGCATAATACACTAAAGCACAACACTGCAAAATTTAATTTCCTTCTTCTGGGTAGATAGAACAGGGTTGAAAATTTCAGTACAGATCTAATTCTTGTCTCATACCTTCCTTGAAATCCACTGCTAAAGCTAAAACTGATTTGTAGATCCTATCCCTGTCCTAACTTCTGAACAAACTGACACATAACCACCCAGGAAGCAAAGCTTCCCACATGCAAACTGTGACACAGGGCCCCCCTGTTATATTTTGTCACAACCAGCACCTCCTCAATAATGCAGAGTGCTATAGAATTTACAGCCATCACGTACTGGATGTGTAAAATTACACAAAACTATATATTAAATCTTGCTGTGACCAGATCTTGAATTCATGTTATCTAACTTCACTTACAGAAACCCTAAGTGTTAACCTCCTTCAGCCTCCCTCAGTTCCATAAGCTACTTTACAAATGCTGAATAAAGAGGGCGAGCAAAAAGCAATTTACCACATCTACTTTAGCGTGAAACTAAACATGTCTTTTTCATATCATTCCAGGACAAATACCATCTTATATAAATTGTCCAAAATTTCACAAATTGATAATTTACTGTTAAAAGGATGTGAAACCATAGCAATCAAGAAGCAAAACCTAAGGGATCACAGAGGCTTGTGTGAAGTTCATACTGATAAATTAAAAAAATATATAAGAGCTAAAATACATATACTGACAATTTATGTATTTTTGGAATTATTTGCCTTTCAGGCAAATGAGAGCAAAATTATTAATTATTAAAGGAAAAGAAAGCTCAGGTTCGAGTTTAAAGTACTTCCTTCTCAGGTCACGTGTAGTGTTTTTACTGAGCTCCATGAATCCCTGTGTACTCTAGGCAACTCATAATCTAGGGCATTGCACTTCCTGTATTTTCCAGCTCTGTAGTGCAATCAGGGGGAAAAAAAATCCATGTCTATTCCTCAGCCACACAGTTCCCTGACTGGTGTACCAGGTCAGCCTGCTCCCGCTTTCTGCTGCGCTCCCTCCTGCGTGGCACAGTCACTGCTACAGCTCTGCCATGGAGACGGTCATTTCTGGCACAGAAACACAGTGGACGTCCCTGTGGGAGGCCCCAGAGCAGAATCCTCTGTCAGCTCTTTAACTGCCCTTCAAAAATCAGCAGGCTGCTCCTCGGTCACCCTCCTGTCTCCTCTAGGCTGAGTTCAGCTCTCTCAGCCTGCCTCATTCATATGCTCTGCATAATTTCTGAGCATGAACTTCATGGAACTTCAGGTAGAGAAACAGGAAAGAGATTGGAAGCACTGGCTTATGAAAGGCAAGTGTTCTTTGAGGAGAAATACACTGGTTTTTTCTGTGATTTATGGATTTAAAAAGCACACAGTTGAATATAATTTTTTGGCATCTTTCATTTGCATTTGAAAACTAGGAAATTAATTTTAATCTTGCTTGCAAAACTAAATTTATAGTCCCAAATATAACTATTTACTCTTTTTATGTAGGTCTGTTTTTTCAAAGAGCAATATCAAACCCAAGAAAAAAAAATTACTGGATTTTAGATTTAAGGAGCCACTTAGAAATATGCCTCAAATTCTACTTTCTATATGAAAAGGAAGCATTGCTTCCACAGTAGGCAAACTGTCCAAAGTGAAAATCATTCTTGTATCAATAATGCCAGCTATGTGATTCTATGTACAATCTTCAGCTATTTCCATGGTATTTTTACAAATCACTGGGTTTAACTCAAAAAACCAGTAAGAAATCAGGAGTGGAAACTTATGGGTTGTGATAACAGCTATGCAACTATTCTTATATGTATGTAAATACATAAAACAGTCTAAAAAATCCTGGTCTAAAGAAGTACAGCAGTTCTGTCTCTTAATATTTGACCATCAAGATCTGATTTGAATGCTGGCTTAATTAATCACTTAGGAACAGAAATATTGCTAGGAAGGAAAAGAAACAAACTCATGAACTCTAAATACTGAAGTATCTCTGAAACCTTTACAAAACAAAAACTCACCCTGCAGATTAAATTTAACATTGCTTTATTTCTACATCCTGGTCTGAAAATGGCAGTTTCCATCAACACTTGTGAGATTTAAGTTCATTTAACCAGTACAATGTGAACAGAATTCCATCTGCTTCAGAAGATTCCTTCAGACTCTGGTACAGATACAAATTCTTATTGCTTAGCATTACCCTTTTTTTATTGAGCAAGTGTGACCTGAGCAAGTTCAGAAATTTCTGAGTTTTAGAGTTTAGTCTGAGTTATGCCCTGATTCTTGACTGTTCATTGAAAACTTATTAAGAACTTGATTAACTGCTTGACTGATTGATTGGCTGATTAATATTTAATATGGAAAACTAAAGTTGAATATGAGAATTTCTTTCTTGGCTTGTCTCTCTGTTGTAGCATCAAGAGTTTGGTGTCCAAACTAAAATCTGATGCTTATTTTGTAAAGATGTCTCAAAAATAACTTTATATTTTCCTGGTACTCCAGAGATGTCCTTCTAAAAAAAAAGACAGATGAAAAGAAATTTTGAGAAAGTTTTGTGGTACATTTTCTCCACATTTGAAGCTCTGTGACATCTATTGATCCAGGATTTGTTGGTCTCTTTCAAGATCTATATTTGTTTCAAAAGCTTTCTAAGTAAATCTTGAAGTCGATATTGATATATAGCAGGATAAAAAAAATCTATGAATTTATCAGTAAACTAATAAAGTCCAGGAAATTTACTCCAAAACATCAGCTCAGTTTCTTTTGAATTAAAACTCTGAAGTCCGAATTTCAATTCCTAGTTAATTATTGTGACAGATGCGATCACTTTAGAGCTGGAGTTCTCATTTGAGGAAGACAAGGACCCTAATAATTTGTTTTCTGGTTCACATACATGTTTCCCAAGTGTTAATGGCTGTTAGCCTCACAAAGGTTTTACTACTGAAGGCTTTGTGAACGCTACATACCCTTTGCAAACATAGGTAGTTGATTTGTTTTCCATTTTTTATCATTGGCAATAAAAGGCATAAGTATTCTATTTCTTTCTATTTGCTGCTCTTTTTTTTTTCTGTTCCTCAATTAGAAGGACAGTCCTTCTACCACCTGCTTCATTTTCATCTTTGTCCCCTGTAATCAATATATATGTAATCAATCATATTTATGTTTACCCTAAAGCTTGATCTTGTTCATTTTTCTATCCAAGTCTTAAAACTAGGCTAGATTATTGAAGACAAGGGTGTGTTTTAGCTAATATTAAGAATCTGGTCCTCTGAGTTATGGTTTTTGAAGATCAGTTTTAGGATTAGCATGTTCTTCTACATTTTTCTGATCACTGAACTGTGCAAGCAAATATCAGAATACTCAAGGCAACTATTAAAGACTATATTTCTGAATATGAATAATATTAATTTAATATTTTCTAGGAAAAAAATAATATAGAAATTGGAAAACAGAAATCTGACCTTACATGCTCTTATATATTTTATGTTACTGTCAACATATTCATTTTCCAGGATGAGGGTGGGCTGCAAAATGGAGAGACTCAAATTATAAAGGTGCATGTGGTGTAAACTAATGTGTTCTGACACTTCTCACAGTATCTTCTCTCTTGGTAAACTCAGCAGAGACACTATGCTGTCCCCAAGGAGGTGAGACACTGGCATATTTGTGTAATAGATGCTGCTTAATACATTTTTAAATTTGAATACACAAGGTGTCAAACAGAATATGCTAAGTTTTACCTGCTAAGTCTTTGTAATCCACCAAGTCAAACATTACAATAGCTACTGCTGACCAGGTAACAATCAGAGCAACAACAAGAAGCCATGCTGCTGGAGAGCTGAACGTGTTCACAAAGTCTTCTGTCACTGACTTCTTGCCCACTTTCATGGATGACGAAGGAACGGAGCCGTTCTTACCATCTATTATCGTCGTGGTTGTTGACATGTGTCCTATACAGACAGACAAAACAGAGGAAAACAGTGTAACAGCTTGGAGCCTTAAAGCCTTAAAGAATATAAATGCTCTTTTGAAATTGTTTTTTCATCGGAATGCTTAAAATAAATATAAATATTTTATTACTGAAAAAAGGTTCCTGGACTTTCTGGAAGAAATAGTCACAACCAGCCTTTTTTATTATATGACATTTTTGAGTCTGCCACAAATAGCTACAGGCCTAGGAGAGTGATTGATGAAAGCATAAAATATTATTACCCTCCAAAGGATTGTCTTGTTACGGGCTATAGGCCAGATTCTCAGGTGATGTGATTAAGTGAACTTCCATTGACTTTAATGGAGCTAATGCATCTATGCCACTTGAGGTTTGGCTGGAATTCTGCTGTGAAGGACATGTATCAGAAGCAATAGAAATATATATACTTCATTTCATCCCACAGAAACAGAAATTATTTCCAAGTCCAGGATCCTTAAAAGTTGTGAATAAGATTGTCGCTGATTTTAAAAACCTTTGTTTCTGGAATCTTTTACGTAATGAAATAATCTCCTAAGAAACAAAAGTTACAATGGCAAAGCAGACTTGATTGCAGAAAGCATAGGATTGGTAATAAAAAGATGGTAGGAAGTTGAATGTTACTTAGCTAAGTGACCAGCTGACACACATTAACTACGTAAAGAACAGTAACAGTAGTGACTTAACCTACTTCCTGAGGTACTAAAAATGCTAATTCTGGACATAAACATTCATTCTTCACACAAACCAAAACTATGGTAACTGAAACATAACCATATTTGAAAGTTATCAACTTAATCTGCTTCATAAAATACATTTTGATAAAATAAACAATCTAGGGAGGTACATTTTTTTTTCCATTATATACAATAACAATAGTAAAAGTATTCTGAACAGCGCAGTTCAAACTGGTAGAAGACCACGGTATCTCCACTTAGTTTGCAATATCTTGTATGTTAGAGTTAAAATCTTCAAAGATATATTACCTGTGTTCTTGGTCTGACACCAACTTGCAGAAATTAATTTCAATGTTTTAAGAGACCCTTGCCCATACAGACATCTAAACTTTCAAGGAATCAGGTAGCACCTGGTTTGTGCAGATCTTTGCTTTTTGTTTGTCTTCTGTCACAGTTGATGCTACCTATAAAAATGATATTTTCTGTATGACAGGGTTGCTCTGTATGAAGGTAACCAGATTCAATTTCACTTTTGACATAGAAAATGACAAATAGGCACTGAGAAAATTTTGCTGGAGCTAAGGTACAGGCTGTTGAAGACTTTCCAATATTTACCATCACAATCTCTATTTAGACTCTCTTTGAGAACTACAACATTTATATTCTTAAAGAAATAAATGAATGAAGAAAGGATAAAATCATTAATATTGCCATATATATATACATTTTTTCCTTCCTATTTTGCCCAAACAAATCTGCCGATCCTTACGCTAATGAATAATGGTTTTGTTCCTTCCCTGTAGAATGTTAAAAAAATATCCTAATGTGATACTGAAATGCGCCTTTATGCATCTGACAAAAACATAAAATTGGGAAGCACAATTTTGTTGGAAGAGGTTCCCTAATTCTTAATCTGTCATATCTGTTATCAAATTCATGTCTTAATCTGTTCTAGAATTCTTTTTTTAAAAAATTTTATTATGCAGTGCATTGTATTAATGAGTAGTTGCCTTAGCTCTGCCTTTTAATTTTGCTTCTGCGTCTTGGTGCTGATCAGTGCCTTGCCTCAAGCCCTGAAAAACTGCTCTGCTACTCAGCAGAGCTGTAAAATCAAAATTGCCATATTACATGTTTTGTGTTACTTACTTGAAATTTGTTCTTATTTATAGAATATTTATTCTGTTCATAAATAATGTCTATCCCCTAGGATAGAATGTATACAATTAAAAAAAATATTATAAAACTATCACTGCTTCCATTTCTCCAAACAAAAATTTTAGATCAAACAATTCAGAGCAGGAGGAAAAATCTGCCAAGTGACAACTAAGAATAAAGATCAGCTTCCTAAGTCAAATTCAAAATCAATAGCATTTTGTCATCTTACTGCATACATGATGGAAGTAATTTGTGCATGTAACAGGTCATAAATGACACATTATGCATTTTTTCCCCTTGAGGATATCAGTCAGAGTTTATGATGTGTAAGGGAGAATAGAAAGGTACTGTCTCATCTTGACAAATCTGATTAGTACCACAGCATGTCTTCAAGGACATCCTAGTGGCAGATATTTGCAGTTATAATACAAACAATTAAAACTCTATGTGTGTATACAGATATAGACTTATAATTACCAGTCAAAGGATCATTCCTCTAGGTTTGTTGTTATGTAAAAATAGTTCCTTACTATTTAGTATAACTAACTTTTCAAACTTAGACCACTACATGTCTTTGGTGAAGAAAATAGTAACTGATGATTTGTCAATCAGAGCAATGCTGTAGAGACAGAGATTAGGTATGCTAGAAGGTTATCTATGAAAAGCTTTTGGCTGTTGATGTAGTCAAGTCAGATTTCCCTTTAAAAACTCAGGATGTTATACAATAAAATTGTTGTCGTTGCATTCATTAAAGTGTGAGTGAACAGTTATTGGTTCAAATTTGACTGGAAGTCAAGCTAGGAAAGTACTGTAATACTGCTGGAGGTTCCTGATACAGGCGCTTGCAGTGTGATTCAGGGGCCTAAGAAAGATTTCCAGTGTGGTTTTAAATGCTTTACATTATCAAAAACGTCCTCACAGGACTGGCAGGCAAAATCTAAAGGACAGTAACTTTGGAACTGCCTAAGGAAAAAAACCTAGACAGGATGTCCTAAAGCAAATAGAAATTAGATTTTTATGTCCCTAGATACCTTTATAAACAAAATTGACTGGAGGATTTTATCTAATGACTCCTGAGAAATACATTGTTTGCTGCTACATAATCTCATGTAGGGTGGATTGTATATTCATACCATCACCATTTCATGGCTCCAAAATGAAGAGGCAGTAACACTGAGATGATCTCCCTCTCTCCACAAGCATTCTATCATTGTAGTACCCAAGGTGTTTTCTGCATGCCTTTCTCTGGTTTTTTCTCACTTTCAGGTGTCTTGGTGCTCTGTTCATTTCTGTCCACCTTCTACCAGTTCTAACTTTCTCTACAAACCTTCAGTGATAATATTTATGAAGCTAGACAACAGAGAAAAAGGGGATGTATATACAATGTTTTCATCAGCTCAGCCAGCAGTGACTCTCCTTTTTCTCAGAAAAGCACCAAAGTTAGGCAGAACTCCTGCCCAAGTGGTCAGTGGAGATTCAGGTGCCCAGTGGGGGACTGAGGCACCCCAACAGGCATTTTAGTTGCTTTGAAATCACCTGATTGAGCCTATTGATTTCTATATTTACAATTAGCAGAGGTCATTCAGCAGCAGGTTAAAATCAGATTGCTGAAATTTCCTAGGTATCCTTGCTGTCCATATAATAAAAATTTTCTCTCTCAAGACAAATTTCTGTGTCCATATTACAGCCAGCCTGAATCCAAGTCAGTTTACTTTTGATGAGCACTGTAGTGGATCAGGAGATTCATGAGCAGATCAGTTGTCCCTGCTCTGGGAGAGGCAACATCCATCACAGGAGTGGAGGGTGCAGCTGAAGGCTGCTACAATTTCAGCCATCCAATTTTAATCCACCACCACATGTCTGCTAGAGCCTCTTGGCACTTTGGGTTGTGATTGGTATTGATTTTCAATGAGGATGGGAACTTTAAAAAGTTATATATATATATTTCTATAAAAAGATTACTCCAGGGATATATACCTCTGACTGCACATCACAATTTCTCATGCACACAGGACTGCCCCATCAGGTTGCAAATGTCACCTTTACATCAACAGATTGATTTGCTAAATTCCAAACAGCTAAAACTCTGATATTCTTACTATTCTTCTGGTTTCAGAGTTGTCACTTAGAATACAATCTGAAGACCCATTAGGTCTCGTAAGTATAAATAAACCTTGACAATTGGTGACAACTTTGAGGAGAACACCATGTGACTTTCAGAATCCAGAGCGAGGTTTTAGTCCTGGCAGCTTAGGTAAAATATTCTTTGTATTTGTGGGCTGAGGCATTATCTCCTTAAAACTTAGTAAGCATAGGAGTCCATGGTTAAGGATGGGGGACTTGATTTTAGAATTCAACAGCTACACCTTCTACTACACTAGTAGAAAAATGAAACAAAACAAAACATCCAAAATTAATAATTAAACCAATTCTGCTCAGACTCATTCAGGTGAAAAGAGTAATTTTCTCTATTTATATCACTTCATAACTATTTTATGTATAACAATCTTATTCTTCCAACAAGACAAAAAAATTAAGTAAAATATTCAATGTGCAATGCCTTTTTAAGGCTAAGTATATTAAAAGCACAAGGCTAGTTACAATACTAAAAAAAAAAAAGTGGTTGTTCACTTTTAAATAATAATATTGTTGCTAGGGCAATACATTGGGATGTGAGAAACCTCACTGCAGTGTGCTCTAAATGAGAGAGCTGGTAGATTTTGACATGTCTGTTGTACTCCCCAGATGAGCACTCCAGTAAATAGGCTACAGAGTATTCTGGATTCAGGTCATTAATGGCTTCTGTTTGACCTATTCCACTTCATTTGGAATATTTAAATACTAATTAAGGAAGCAGGGAAGAGAAAAAATGGCTGTAAAAATCGACACTGGATGTTAAGCACCAGCTCAAGCCTTGGGCTTTAACCTGGTGACCTTATCAACCCAGCACTGCTGGGATCAGGCAGGAGTCTCAGCCTACAGTAAGTAGGGCACCGCAGGGAGACGAGGACAAGGGATTAGAACCCTTCAGTGAAGAAGTGGGCAATGGATATAAGATAATCTGCTGCATTTTCTTCAAGCTCAGCACATCACCCTTAGTGAGTCCACAGACCTGCAGGTACCACAATAATCACTCTTTCCCCACG